TGCTGCGGACACACACACACACACACACAGACAACCCCGTGACAATATGCGTTTTGTACTGCTGTTGGACAGCACAAAACGCATAAAAATTACAAGTCATTTTAACGGTACAAGGGTGAATGCTGCCAGAAAAGCAGCAAATGCGTAAAAGTGTACTAATTTGTTTTGTGAAATTATCAGCCTAGAGATAACGGGCCATCAACAAATTTACCTGTGATTTTAAGCACATGCCAAGCTTGCAGCACGTTGAGAAGAAGGATACAATGGTTTGCTCAGGAAGTGTGATGATTTGCTCAAATCGATAAGAGCTGGAGAGAAATCCGAGATCTTTTCTCATTTTACCGAAAACCTGCAGAGGAAGATTTAAACAACGAAAAAAAAAGAACATTTTTCATTCAATAACACAAGCTTCTTCAGCAAACACTGCGATAATTCGCAGCTCCGAAAAAAACTATCCGGGTTGAAGAAGCGCACCATGAATTTGACAGTTTCTTGTCGAAATGTAACCTGCAGTATCTGCGCTTCATACACTCTTATGTCGTCTGTACGGGTATTTGAACTCGGAGACCAAGCAAGTTCCAGCGCCAAGATTTTGCTAGTGGGTGGGCTCCCCGGCCAAATGCCACTCCAGAACCGCGGTACCAGCCCCTACGCAAGTCAGGGCTTCGCGAACAAGAGGGTGGAAATTTTGGAGGGGAGAGGGTGGAAGTCTCTCTAATGTAGCTTTTTTTTCGTCACATTAGCTAATTTACGGAATTACGCAGCCCCAAACTGACTGTGATTTCAAATTAGTCGAAATTTACACTTCTCCAGCCAAACTGCTTTTACGCTTTCGACCTGGGTCTCGACTTTGCTGAATTAATTATTCGTATCTTTTTCTTGCGATTTTTCTCCCCGAAGCTCCAAACTTTGCTACACTTGAACCAAATGTAAACAACGTAGTTTTCACATTATCTTAAGATATGCGGTTATAGCCATCAAAACCAATTGTACAGGTCACAAGAAACTCGAAAAATTCACCTTAATCGACCGAATCTCTGCTGGACCGTTGCCACGAGAAAATTTCAACTTCAGTTTGTTGTTGCTGAAAGATTACGGTACAACAGTATACAACGGATTGGTATTTACGTAAATTGATAAAAGCAATACTTTTCGTTTCAAAAAAAAAGTAAACAGACCCTCTCCCCCCTTCCAGCCCGCCATGCATAATTTTTATGGAAAGAGGCACTTGGAAGTAGACTGATGATTGTGTCGGCGCAAAATCGATTAAAAGGACAATTCGAGCAAACACGGTGAGCGACTTAATCACTCATTCTACGTGGATGAGGAAAATTCTAAATCGCAAGCAGCACGCGTAAATTAGAATTAAGTTACTACCTTAATTCAGTTGTTTTCTAACCCAATAATTCAAGCCCAGCATCAAACTAAGTTCCAGTCGTACAGGAAATCTGCGCGAGTCCTATGACACAGCTGATCCCGCTCTTTCCCTCATCCTGCCTTTGCTTCATCAGTTCCTCCAACCCGATTTGTTACAATGGTCAGGTGGTATTTCATCCTTTCTCTCAGTCTCCATAAGATGTATTATCTCAGTTTGCATGGAACAGTAATGTAATTAATCATGGGCTACTGAGAGCTGTGCGCTCATCATTGAGCACCGTATGTAGCTCTTACATGAGAGCGATTTTCCGACAATACTGACTAGCAATTTTTTCTGCGTGTGTTTTTTGCAATTCACGAATACAAAAAACAGCAGTAAATAATTCAGACTTCGACTTTTCAAGAACTCTTCTGATAAAGTTCATAAGAAATTTAAGACTGAAATAAATGAATTACCATGTGATGGACTGTCTACGCGTCAGTGCTACGTCGAACGTTCGTAGAGTTTTTGTTTGGAGGCTAATTTTTCTGCCGAACAAAGTGACACTCGAAGGGCATTTGTCTGGAGCAATTTCAATGCAGACTGCACAGATTATGTAATTGCTGTCCGAATTTTTCACTGTAATATCGAACTCCTTCTCCTGAAAAGTAATAATTCGAGCGCAAACTAGCGTATCCCAATTCGAAGCGAAACTTATTTCATCCTTTGGAATGGAAAATCGGTATAACTCAAACGACCAGTGCTGCCCTAAATCACTTAATGACAGCGTGATTTGAAGCCCGAATAAAATGCCCTTTCATCAGAGCTGAAACATGTATTACTTCAACAGACTGATGAAAAACATGATGGCATGCAATAACCGCGAATTGCTAATGAAACAATCGTAAGATTCCTGATTACGTACCTTAAGACAAATAACGCTCATTCCTGGCGACTTCAGTCTTTTCGCCACTTCACCACCATCGTAATAAAGTCCAAGCACATTGCTTTGGAAGTCCACCTCTTGAAGAAGCCGAGATTCCTCAAAAATTGTCACCAAATCTGCTTCCGGTACTTCATTGTTCAGCAGTGAGCACGGCTTTAATTCCGTTTCCAACATATAGCGCTCAGCACCTTTCACCCAGAAATCTGGTTCCATCAACCAAATGCTGAAATTTGCTAGAACAGCTGATTTCCTTTACAAAGTAAAAAAAAAAAGCAATTTGCACAAAAAGCGAGCCGGCTGCTTTATCACTGCCAGTGGTGAGAATCAGAGAACCCAGCATAAATTAAAGCAAGAAGCTTGAGCTACAACAGACTGCCGGAAACCGTAAAATGGCCAACTAAGCACTCTGTGTAAAACTTACAGGAAAAAAGAGAACGGGTGGAAAATACATGTAGCATCTACAAACTATGTGTGTGGACATTCTCAGTAACGGCCAAATATTGATACTAATCAGCGTAGTGAACAAGCAGGTAAAACCCGGCGCCAATAACAGAATTTCTGCGCAAAAATAAGAAATACGTGCAGTCACACTTGCTAAATGAGTATAATACAAATCATTTAAACCGGCGTTATGTCTTCTAGTTCGCCAAACTTGAACGAAAACTCGAAGAGGGCACCAACGAACGATACTCGCATACCAAAATATACTCAATATAACGCGATGGCGCCAGTCTTGAGCAATTCCCAGTGCTTAGTCCGGTAAAAAATAAAGGAAATTTTCCACGAAACTAATCAATTTTATATTTTTAAGCGT